ACTATGATCCCCTTCGTTGTCACCAGGTGGTACGCTTGGGGGGCGACTATTTACGCCATTGGTTCGGTTCGTCCCCAGGAGGCTCCCGTCGTTCAGCGTGGGATAAACAGTGGACCCTCAATCAACGACAAGCTCAGGCTTATCAGTATGCATTGTCTACTATAGATGCGGCTTGCCTTGGTGAGTGTTGCCACCATACTATTCCCCTTGATCACCACGTCTTGGTGGTACACTGTGACGCTAGTTCGTCAGGTTATGGTTATTGTATCCACTCAGTTGCTGACGATGAGTCTCTCTGGCCTGAGCTGAATGACCCCTCACGAGTTCTCCTTGAGGCTTGCGCTGAGAGTTTTCAGCTGCGCGATCGCGAGAAGCGTTGGCACATCAATCGTAAGGAGGCTCTTGTCTTATATAAAGCAAGTGTCGCAGCAGAACATTGGTTATCCTGCTTCACTCCTCATTCTCCTCAAGTTCAGCGTGTAATATTGTTCAGCGACAACTCTAGTGCTGTTCACTGGGCGACCCAGCTTACGGTCGGTACTAAAAGTTACGATCGCATTGTTATTGAACGGTTATTAGATCTCTTCGATTCGCTCCTGGGCCATATTCGCGATAAATATGGCATACAGTTCGAGTTTCGCTATATTGAAGGTGCGAAAAATCTTTTCGCTGATAACCTCTCTCGTCAAGCTTCTTTGTTCCCAGAGTTCCCGCCCTTGAGTGACCTCAACGACGTTAACAAGCACAGTAGTTCGTGTGAGACGACTCTTGTGTTATCTTCAGATGCTTATGGACTGCTTATTTTCCCTTATAAGACCGCCTCGAGCCATCGTTGTCTTCGATCTTTGTGGATTAACGAACACACCTTGACTCCGGAGACTGGTTCTTCCTCTGAGGTGCGACCCTCAACCGTTCTAGCAGTGACTGCTCCGGTATCTCCCTATTCAGACCTAACTGCTGTGGGTAACATGACTCGAGAAGATGTCATTGTTCATCTCCAGGAGGCTCTGCAAGATGATCTTGCCAAGATCGAGAGTTTTGTAGATCTACCTTACTTTTTCGTGGGGTTAGTTTACTCTCTATACTTCTTGCGCTTGGTGTTCTTCCAGTGCACAATGGTGAGAAAATCTCTGCAGGAGTACGCGCGCTCTGTGAAGGAGATCGTGCATCCTTTCAATGGGATATTAATCATAAACTACTTTTCTTCCGAGATGTTAAGCTCAGCCCTTCATGGTATATTTATGCCTGTACTCCCCGCTCACAGCATTGGATCCTATACAGGTTTCACTATTCTCCTCTACTCGGTTGCCACCGGTCTGTGGCCCGCTGTGTGTCGGCGGCCTTATCTGATGGTTGGTATTTCT